ACACATGAGTGTGGACAATGTTTCTCTCAAGTAATTCAGACAAAAGTCCTGGTCCCCACACACATGCACTTTGGAACAACCAAGCCTGGCAGCTTTCAGCTGTCTTCACTRTATGCAAGATCCTCTTTATTAATTAGACTACTGCTTCCCTCTTCTCCCTCGTTCCAATCTGCACAAGCAGGATGCCTCAGCTGCAGTTCTCTTCCTCCATTCCACAGTCGTTAAGGGCTATTTCTCTGACACCCCATACCAGGAAAGAAGTATCATTAAAAAAAGTCACAAATTACTGTGAAACACTCTCTAGGGCTGTGAAATACTTAAGTACTTGGAATGTCTGACTTTTTTTTAAGTTTATTGTTTAGAGAATATAGACTTATTCTGCTTTGAACATTTTAGCTCAATTACTTTAAAGCAGAAAGCTAGACAAGATGAAGAAGTCTTTCATATGTTAAAACAAGCTAGTAGATTCATTTTGATATACATCAGTAATGATTTAATTAAACCTTTCTGAATGTCTTAGGTCTGTTTAATGCAAAGTGATAGCTTAACAGGGATCCATTGTACATAGCAGGACTGGAAGAGTTGATCTTACTCCATAGGCTGTCCTGAAGCATGTAGAGTAGCATGGTGACTGCTACACCCTTAGAGAGCTCTAATGTAGTTGCAAATTTTCACTGACCTTTAGTTATTTGCAGTAGAGAAGTGGATTTTTAACAATCTTTTCTGTATGCCTCTCACAGTAAGCATTCAGAACATAGGATTTTTGCATCCCTTTGAAAGAGGAGCTTTCTCACACGATGAGCTCAAATACTAGGTTATACATAAAAAGCATCATGGCATTATTTCCTATTTAGCTTCCTATGTTTGGGGCCTATGTTTCCCTCTTAAGAACTCTTGTATCCTGTATATACATTAGGACACACAATTCAAGGCTGGAGAGACATGCCCAGTCTAGCCCAATGCATAAGGTRTGCCTCCAACACAGGCACTGAAAGACAGAATAAAATGTAAGACCTTTTGGTCTGTGTTTCAGAATTAAATCTAATTCAAATTTAATCTAGTATTTTCTTCAGAATCAGCATGGACTCTAGAAAAGATCTTTAGCTGCCAAAAACACAGAAACTTCTTACCTAAAGCTTTATTTAGGCTATGACTTTTTAAAATTCTTATTCTCACACAAATATCTCGCACTAGCAAAATTGCATGTAACCAAGCAGAATGTATTAAAAGACACCTGTTTTTTTAGGTTTTTTTTTTTTTTTTTTTTTTTAACCCACACAAACTCGGGGGGGAAAAGTGGCACATGGAAAGGAGACTTTATAATCCTCCCCCCAGCTACCTCAAAATAGCTTTCTTTGCAGGGTTCCCCATCTGCATATAACATATGCCTGTTAGACATATATGGTTTCTTTCACTGACTTTGGCCAGAAGACAATGCCGCATGGAGCAGCTTGTGCTTTGGCTCTGCACCACATATTCAGAGCCCCACACTTCATCAGTGGGCTTTGGCGAGCAGATTTCACTTTGTCTCCATTTCTGACATCATGRCACTGACAAATTAATCACACACACGCTTATCCTTCCTGATCATCCATTTCCACCCAAGGATTATAAGGATTAGTCTATAAAAGGCACTGGTGAAGACACCATTTCAGTTAAAGGTGTTTAGCTTCAGGTTGCTTCCAAATCTCTGGAGCTGAATGGCTTTATGGTAAAAAAAAGATATCTTTAACTGCAGGACATGATTTGTCAATAAAAATATTTAAAGCTTAATACAATGAATTGCAATGAAATATGAAAAATGTAAACCAGTTTGTAATAAGAGACTATGCCCACACCTACTTTAGTGAAACTTTCCCTCTAGATTCTTATTTATATCACTAGCTTTAAAATCCTTCCTATAATAATTCTCTTATGCCCTTTACCAAGATTCAAAATATTTTACTCATAATTGTGCATGGTCTTCAATATCTCTGGCTTTCCTCAGAATAAGGAAATGGTAATATSTAGCCTAGACAACTGGTTTTAATTTAAACCAATTGTTCGTTTCAAGGAGAAATCCATGTCTCTAGCTAACTTAATGATTTCACACGACCAGAAAGGAAGAAAGCTGATGGTGTTGCTCCTACAAATCCTCAGCGTAACTATTAGTGCTATAAATTCAATGCACATTTAAGCTAGCAAGAATTGCACTTATTTTTACCACCATTTATGGCTTTCTGGGCTCTCTGATACCAGGCCAACAGACCAATAAATGTTCCATGGCTTCCATGATTCTCACTAGCACCCATATTTTGATATCATTAATCAAACACCATCTTATTCCATGAATAGTTATCCCATTAACTTCAGCTTTCTGGACCTATTTAGTGCAAGTCTATCAGATTTGGCACTGAATTAGAACAGACTGCTCAAATATCAGCTTTCAAATTAGGATGAAAAATACCATGTCTACAAAGTCCTATGATATGTTAATCATCACCTGTATCATTTGTTGAGAGCACTCAATACTTCATAAGAGAAAGGCTGTATCTTCCAGTCTCAATTAGCGAGAGCAATCAAGGACTGTAATTTACAGTCTTACCTACTGAACACTAAGGCCTCTTTTCAGCCAAATGTTACAATCAGACAGAAAWAAAGGAATTATTTTTTAGCAGTGTCCACTGTCCAATAACTTTTGTTGGCAGCTTATAAAATTCTGCTTGAATAAGTAGTTCCAAAGAGTAATCCCACTGGGTGCTACGAAACTTCAGTCAAGTTTAGTATTTAAAACACTATACTTGATTTCAATCAATATTCCCTGGAAAGCCACTAAGCCACTATAATAGTAATAATATAATTAATAATAATAATAATAAATATATAAAGTATAATATATAATTAATAATAATATAATGTGCTTATTTTAACCTAGGTTGATAGAACAAATCTCCTCAGTACTCTATATTTGTGAAATGCTGAAGGCTTCATAGCCAGGCATATCACATTACCTTAATCTACCTCATAGGCACAAAGATATGAATATGAGAAAAACAGATCATCATCTTCTGCAATGGGACATAAATATACAGCTATCCAGAGCAGACAGCTCATATATCTTGGTAAATGAAATACAGTAACAACTAAGAATTAATTGATAGCCATGAGAAATTGAAAAACAGCGTGTGCATCTTCACCTAAGAAGATTGAGCAGTAACTGCAACCTCTTTGGGAGGCTCATGTGGACTGGCTGTGGGTTGTTCTCATTACAGAATATTAGCCTCAATAAAACAGGCTTCAGTTCTGACTATTCTTTTCAAAATCAGAAATCYAAAATTTAATTCACAAGCCTTGAGTCAAGATTTGAATTCAGAATTCACTTCCACCAAGGATTCATGAAAGACCATTGTTATAAACTTCAGGTATTTGGTTGTTGCTCTTCACTCTTGGCTACACATGAAGCAAAAAGCACAAGTAGACTTAAGAGAGTTCTGAGCACTAATGAAAGACTTTCATTGCTTGTTTTTGGCAACTAATGTGAATATAGTCTGGGCTAAATTCTCAGCTACTGAGGCATGAGAAAAACATTTACTGATTTTAATGATTGAAGTCTCCAGAAGTTTCCATCAGAAGAAAAAGCTTTTGATGACCTAATTATTTAGCTCTGCTCTAACATAGAATGAAGGGGGRAAAAAAAAAAAGCACCTAAATGTTAAAGCACCTAAACATTACAATTTATTGTTAGGAATATACACATTTACAAATAGGCAGGCTTGCTCATAGCCGTATGTGATTTATTGCTTCACTGATCTCAAAAACACTATACCAAATGTGTAGCGAGCAAAGATCTGCCCCTTAAGATCTACACTTACAACCTCAAAGCATCCTTTAGAACAGAACAATGGAACTGATATGGAATAGAGCAGAACTGCAGTCTCAGATCACTGCAGTAGATGGAAAATGTACTTTGGTTACAAAGTATTTCCATTCCCAGAGTGATGTTTCCATGAGCGTAACCAGCACAAAGCCACAAAGAACAAAGAAGAAAGGTTACGGGACAGAAATGGATGTTTCCAAATTTAACTATAAATATTTAACTAGTCACAGCAATGTCTAAACACATGAATATCTAGTATCTGGAATATATCTGTAAGCCTCCTGGAAGCATATAGGTAAATTAACTTCTAGAAGAGAAATGAGAAGAAATGATTATAGCTTCACACCTGTAAGATGGAGAGTTGTGTGTAATAGAACCCCCAATCACAGGAAAAATTACTGTCCTTTTTTCCTTTTTACCACTCAATTCTTTCCTAAATAAGCATTGATCATAGAATTCAACACTTCCGTCTTGGGGTACCATGTCACAACAGGATGCATGGTTCATAGAYACCCTTTGCATTAACGCCTGTAAATAGCAGCCTTTGCAAAGGCTACGGCCATACTATGGAATCATAAACCATCTTATTAGAAAAAGATATGTAGATTCTTCACTAGAAAGTTTTTGCTTGTTTGATTGCTTTCAATGGTGAGAGACCCTATTCATAGAAAGATGGCCTCAGCCCTGGATTGCAATAAAATCTTATTAATTGTATCTAATCTTAAGTGCTGAATATGTAAAATGTTAACTGTAAACTTCACAAGCTATAGTATAGTTAACATATATACTATATTCATCTGTACATATAGATACATACTTTCACAAACRTTAAATATATTTCTTTAAAAGTATTTTAATAACATTCTAACTAAAGAAGATGCTTCAACAGTAACTTTTTGAGACCTACTGACATTGACTGTTGACGCTTTAAACTCTTCTCTCTAAGCTGTACACCTTCACATTCACCGTTAAGCAAGGTCTATTAGACCACAAGCTACAGGTTCACTTCATTCAGCAGCTCTCTTCATATTCAGAACAGTCAAAACATATTTTGGAAGGAACTACCTATTTTGTTACCTCTCCATGTTAGATTCTCCAGTCATTTTATATTTTGCAGTGCAGAACATGTACAAGTCTGTCTTACCTTTCATGTGTTCCACATAGCAATATACGTCATAAGTTTCATTAGGAAAACGGCGTCCATATGTCCTGACTCCTTTCTTCCCCATTTTATCTCCAAAGCAGCCAATTCTTGGATGTCTAATTGGATATCTGAAATGTAGCACAATCACATTTGTTATTAMGGTAAGTCAGCATTTCAAGTCTGTGCAGGCTAAGCACATTAATTTTGGAAAACGCTGTCTAGAGACCTTTTAAATGTCTCACCTAACAGTCTGGTCAGACAGCCAGCCAGCATCACACTGCTCAAATCCATCTTCATAGGCCGCTTTCAGTTGTTCAGGACTTGCTATGACAGCACCGTTGTCCAGACAAGTCTGCTGAGCTTGTGTAAAATTCAGAGTATACCTGCTGGTTGCAGCACGATAGTGAAATACAACACCTGCAAAGATAACAAACTCATGTTACTGACACATCTTGCATCGTTTTTTGCTATTCTCATGATATTGTAACTTTCCCTAGATGATGTTACAATGCTGAAAACAGACTGGTATAATAAAACTCGCAAGAATCTTGAAGAGCCTGTCATGTAAATGATGTCCCCCTCTAGTGGTTGCTACCAGCACGTTATGTAGCACATTATATTTGGCACACTTGGAGAAATTATCTTTCCTGTACACACAGGGCCTACATGGCACGAACTGTGTGACCAGACTAAGCACTTTTGGCCCTTGAAAAGAGGTGGACTAAGAAAATGGACATTCTGAAGCAGGTCTCTACTTTTGATGATGATCTGATGATCTTCATCTGCCCCTATGCGTTCAAGGCCTGCAACAAATAAAATATTGACGAACGAGCGACTGTTGGTCAACTTTTCATAACTTGTTTTCCTACACACACACATGCTATAAACAATACAGACTAGACAAAGCTTTTATCTGGTGCTGTTTGGCTCTAAAAAGAAGGCACAGTTTAAACAAACCACAAAGAGCACCAGCCCAGAGATGGCACAAACCAAATATTCCTCACAGCTACATTACTTCCCTCCCTATCATCAATGCCTTTTACAGTTCGGCATCAAAAGGATATTTTATGATGATCTTTGAGCAAAAACATACAGCCTCATTTATTTCACTTTAAAATCTGCAGAAACAGCAGCAACACTATAAATAAACTACTGCACACAACGGCTACAAAGTCAGAAGAATAAATCATAAAGTTTTCCTTCATGCAAATACTTGTTTGGAAGGAATATTTTTGGGATGAGGAAATAACATACTCCGATATATTTTTGAAAAATAGAGTAATTGTAGCAATAAGAAATTGAATTGCAAGTCTTTTATTAGAATTTCATTGGTGGAAAGACAGAAAAAGTCTGACAATTTATGAGTAAGTAGTATCACACTCTTTCAAGAAGTTTCAACATACTTAGAAATAGTTTCGGTCTTACAGACAAATTAAGTGAAATTTTGCCACTTTTCCAGAGATACGACCAATAAGTAGAAAATACACTTTTCTCTTCATGTATTGGCTAGAACATTTATTAAGCTTCCAAAATAGAGGGGAAAAAATAATAATAAAAAAGAAAACAACGCCAGTACAACCACACAGATTGTGTAAAGCCTCTACAGAGTTGAGTCAAATCCCAATCCTCAAACTCTATTTCCACCAAAACTACTGTCAGAGAAAAAGGAAATAATAGAGGAATTTGGGAGAATTCCTATATTTCATTATTTAATATGGAACCACTCATCAGCCATGCCAAATTATTAAGACCCTATATCACCAGTGTCCAGTAAACTGCAATTTCAGAATGGGTGACTTAATGCCTAACGCACAGTGCTTCTTCAGAGCAGTGACATAATTTCAGACAGCATCAAATGGACTCGAGCAACGTTTGGTAGAACTAGCAAGTGAAGAAGCCATCCTGAAACACCATACCTACATTCACATTACTTAACTCATCAGATACCTGCAAATCAATCATCAAAAGTGCTGAACTGTTAGATTAGCTCACTGCATTATTTGGTCCTGYCCCCCTTCCAGATAATTTCTGAGAAAACTTTAGGGGGAAGAAGAGACTGGGGACAATTCCCCATGGGCTCTGTTCAAGGGACCTCTCCTCTTTTGGAAGGCAAAAGCATCTAGCAGCATGGATGAGGGCCATGCTCTCCCAGCTGGCCTCAGGGCTACAGATCAGTCTGAGCCACGTTTCCCTATTAATATAAACTATCTGGAATGGGAGAAATTGAGAGGGAGTGGCCCAGAAAGTGCTACACTAGTTCATGCTTGTCATGCAGTTTTGCTGCTCTGTGACACACACTGGTGCCTAAAGAGGGAAAAAAATTCTACAGACCATTTGTAAAGTCCAAGTTGCATACAAAGGTCTATATAGACTATATAGACATGCAAAATATATATATATAGGCATAATTGTAATCTGGTTTTGCATAGTCCAAAACACAGAATCCTTTACTATGATTCCAACAGAGAGCACTACTTTATGACAAAAAAAAAAAAAAGAGTAACCGATTACTCTATGCATTTAACAGATTAAAACAACAAAAAATATTTTTTTTTTTTTTTTGTTTTTTCTTTTAGATATTTAGTTACCTCAGTTGACATTGAGGACCAGTTACCTACTGGTATAAATCAGCATGGCTCCATTCAGTAGTATAGTAGAAAATAAATATTCGATATTGATTGACCTGTTTGGGGTTTTAYACCCAGAGTGAAAAAATGGGAATATGGCTAAAACATTCTGAACTCGAAGAGCAAGCCTATAAGAACATATAGATTAAATGGAATATATAGAATATATATGAAATATATAGAATTTATATGCAAGATGAACATCTGACTCTATTGATATTTATTGCGAAGTGTAGATACTAACATTTTAAACTTTCCTTTGCTTTTAGTATACAACATTTGACTGAGTCTGTAACTCAGATCACATACTTCTGAGTTTATGGTTGGTAAGTACTTTGTTCATTTGGTTTGCTATTCTAATCTTAATTAAAATGCATTTTATATGAATTTAGATTCATTGCCTGTAATAAACTTTTTTTTTTCCTTCAAAATTGCTAGACTGATGCAACATTTCATTTGGGATCAAAAGAATTTCTGCTCAGCACAACCACAAAAAGGTTCATTAATTTAGCTGGAGATGGCAACATATTTCTCTGAACTCATTTTTGTAGAGCTTCATATTGCTTAAACATGCAAGTGCATTCCCAAGAACCAAATATCTTTTAACTCTCCCATTTTTGAAGTAACCACTGCTTTTCTCAGTTGCTCAGTTTTCTCAGTTGGCAATCTCTATGATAGCCGAATAAGGCAAAACTAAAGAAATGTAGCAATGTTGGTATCACTCCCCATTTAAAGTAGCTTTTGCAGTGCTGAGAAAAAGCCTTTGGTCATTTGTAAATCCTGGAAAGGAACTTGGAGAATGCTTTGTTCTCCTCACTCTGATCCAAAAGGTAAACTTCACCTATTCTTAGAGTTTAAGGTTCTTCCATTTTCAGTGAGGAGCTAATGGACATAAAAGAGCCTCCAAGATGAATGGGAAGGAGGAGGTCAGTATGTATAAGCCTGTGCAACAGCTGCAATAATTAGAAGACCTCCTGGGGCTAAGGAGATTAAAGAGCAGGACTTTCATTGTTTCAGTTAGACACAGAGAGAGGGGCAAAATCCATTGTCCAAGTTTTTGCACTTTAAAACATTTGTAAAGGATATTTTCCCTTTTGTCTGTTTGCTTTCTGCAAGAAAAGGCAAGAAAAAAAAAAGTTGTTCGAGGACAAATAAAGCAACTGGAAAACAGACTACGGCAGTATAGCATTGTTGCTGGACATCTGGCAAACAAACTAAGTATAATGACAGGAAGGAGCAGCAGTGGCTGTAAGAAAGAGCACTCATAAGAAAGTAATTTGAGGTATCCAAGATTCACTGCCCAAATGACAGAATTCTCTGTCTGAGAAGGAATGTCTTCTAGTCAATTATCTGTGTGTTACACTAATGAGAGAAAAATGTRAAGAATTTCACTTCTAAGCAGCTAGGACTTACGTGCGTAAGAGACTAGTCCAGGGGTTTCACATCTTTGGGTTGCAACACTGCTTTTTGACTTGCTCGGGTGTCATGCTGCAAAACCCAGAGGAATTGCTAGAGGGACGCTCATGTAACACAGTTCATATTTTATTGTGGCCAATAAACTACCATTCACCATCACTGGTGAACCCGTATGGCTGCAAAATACAGTCTCACAGTCACATGAAGCGCGAATCTGGCAAGCTGTCTGATCCAGCAAAGGATGTCTAACTGGGCTTTGCAAAGAGCAACCCAAGAGAAAAGACAAAGATTACGATAACAGAGTCTGCAATTCTGTTAATTTTTAGGTTCAAGTGACAGTCTCGGTGCAGGCCTCTCAAACATCCCTCATCTGATTTCCAAAGCTAATCAAATTCTACATACATTTGGCAATCCAGCCTGCTTCTAATGCAGAAAACAATTTACATGACAAACGCACACCAAAATAGAGGCTATAGAACAGGCCACTGTATGAAAAGAAGGAATACCACAGCATTTTCAGCTTCTTGCATGAATAATTCATTTGTGTTCTCACTCGAGGATTTGCACCCATCTTCTGACCCCTAGCCTAGGCTCTGGCAATCTGAGGAGCAGAGGCTGCATTGCATCAGCAGGAGCTCCACCAGCAGATGCCTTGGAGAGCTTCTCGGCGTGCAGACAAAATGCAGAGCAATTGCTTTGCTCCCATGCACGCATGAGGGCCTCCTGCTCTTCAGAGGCAGGAACAGAGGGGGACACTAACTGTCACTTTGCTTCTCTGCGCAGAGATTTGGGGCTTTGAGCTGTACAGAATAACACAGCTGCGTGCACAGGTACACAAACCTCCCTGAACAAGCTGGTCCAGAGAAGATAAGCAATTAATGCTTTGCTCTGACTTTYTCAAGGGGCCTGAGTGGAGGACCTCCTTGCCAGTACTTGCACAAGTACTCAGGAAGGATAAGCTAGTGCTGATCATTTAAAAATAGAGACATCATATACCACATTCACCAACTGCCCTCCTCAGTTGCTCTGCAGAAGAACCAATGCCATGGGACTGATCCCAGAGCTCTCTTTGCAAGTCCCCCAGGCTGGCAGCAAACGCCACCAGGCTGCACGTTAGCAGCCCTTCTGCCATCCCTGCAGGAAGGCGACAGCAGCTTTCTCGGGGCATTTTTACTTCCCTGCTCCTGAGACGCACTGTGCATAAACCCTGGGCCTTTTTTTGACCCAGAAATMACTCATCTCTCCCTCCCTTTGATAGCAGTTAGTCATTGTGCTCGTCCCTTCTCAGCTGGRGAAGCTGGAACCTCCTTAGATGAGTAATTCAAGGCAAAATGCACAATTTTAAAGACATAGCAGTCTTTTTTAATATAGTTAGCAATGAAAAACTGATAAGGGTACAAGACATGATTCTGAGTGATTAAATAAAAAACATCTCTTCAAATGCCATACTTAAGGGATAATGAAGGAGAATTCTGGCTTTAGGGAATAAATCAATTAGGTTGTCAACATACAATCTCTAAGGGCGAAGAGCACAATTGAGCAGCACTGTTCCCACATTGAAAACAATTCCTATTTATTATCATTATAATGCCTGTGAGAAAGAAGAGTTGGCATAAAAATGAAAATGTGAATTACCATCTAAGTCTGCTTCTTTAATTGCTGCTTCTTCCCATTAACTAAATCAGTATCGTAAACCTAGCATTTTTCTTAATGGTTCTTTTTTTACGTAATTCCTAAAAAGCCTCTCAGAATTCCAGCAAAATCAAATAGGAACAACAGGCCTATGAAAGAAGCAGTCTCACAAGATCCCAGTAAAAAAGGTTAACACTAATTTGCAGACATTTCCAAGAGCATTATCAAAAATCATCTCAAACAAGTGATTTATTCAGATTTTACTTTTGGATTAGACTGTCTTTTCTCTCTCTCTCTCTCTCTCTCTCCTCCCTCCTTTCCTCATTGCTCAACAAAATAGAACACCAACCAAGTTCATTAAATGTCCAATCATGTCCCAGATTGAACAGCGACGCTACTTGGCACTCATAGGTCAGATTTTTGCTAAGGTGCCTTAGAACTATTCTATAAAAGTCAGTTTTATTATATTTATCAAGAGAAAACAATCAGGAACAAGAGAGAAGTAGTAGTGCTTCCTTCCAAACCCTTTGTCAGTTCACCCAGGTTTGCTTGCCTAGTAAAGTTTTAGCAAACCTAAGTTTTAGCTTAGACTTTAAGATAAACTAGTCCTCTAAGTCTCTAATCAATGGTGGGGGATACAGACTGCTCAGCTTAGCTCACTCCAGACACTTATCAAAGAGGAGCTGACTGGGGCCACAGCCTATGGGTTGGACTTAAACTGCCCCCTTCATCTTTTAATAGTTGAAGTTAAAATAAATCCTACCCTCATTTTAGCTTTTGATTTCAAACCTGGAAAGTTTGAAATCATAAGTTCATAAGTTCAACACCATTAAATTGCGCTGGTGAACTACTAGCAGGCAGTTGAATACCCAGGGATGCCCTTCAGAAGACATCACTTGCCAGTAGCCAACCTCTACGCCATATCCATATGCCTCTACTGGTATGGAGGTGAAAATCCAAAGCCCTGCAAAATGAGAAAGGCCCACAAAATAGGAAAGAAGAGGCATATAAATATGCCTCTACTAGTGGCAGCCCAAGAGAAGGTAGAGCCATCCTGCTTAGAGATCTGACAGCTCTGCCATGGCTTGATCTGCTTAGATAACGATGGGAAGTTAGATAATGATGGGAAGAAAACCATCAAGAATGAAGGAAAAATAACCCCAAACACTGTAAAATTAAAAGGTCAAGGCTTCCTCCTGCAAGACGTTTTGAACTGTGGATTTAATAATGATAATAAGAAGGGCCCAGACGGAAAACCGAAAACAATATGGGAAGATAAAATTACAAAAGCTGCCAAAGAAAGGGTAGTTCCTGAGAAAAGAGGAACATTTCAAATAAAGTAAAGCAGAGAAAAGGCAATAAGATAATACCTCCAAAGGAAAAATAAATATGAATGACATGACTTCTTGAAGAGAAGTATTTCTTCGTGGTCTTGTATTTGCATATTCAACTTCTTGAATAGAGGTCCAAGCATATAATACCATAAGATTATTAGCTCTGTTTGAGCAYGACATTTTCCTGCCTGAGGAATCACAGTTCTAATTGCAACCAGGCTGTAGGGAAAGTATTCCCCACAATTCTTAACAGGAAAGAAGGTGTTCTGTGAGATGAAACTGTCCTTCTGCAGTAGACTATAGATCTGTCAGTGCTGGCTCATCCCTTGCCTCAGGGACAATCCTGTGGTCACAGTTAACTGGTAGGGACATCTGGCCACCCCGAAAGTTCCTGTGTGGACTAAAATTAAGCGTAGCACATTGCTACACCTGCACCAGCAGTCAAATAAAAAAATAGTAATATGCACAGCAGGTACAGTTCAATGAACCTCACTGATCTGTGGTCACCTGCACAAAAGTCACAGTGATTTTGACCATGTTCATACTTCCTTTCTCCAGAAGGATCTCAAAGTGACTTACAAAATCTTTTCTGAAAGATACCAKAGGCATTCTGAGCAAGGAAGAAGTGTATTGCTTTCTGAAACATCAGTCAAATTTCTTTGTACATCCAAATTATCCTCACACAGGGGAATTTGGCAAAAGTTTCCTACCTTAAATAAAAAGATTCTGCTTCACTTTAGGTTCAGGACAACAATCAAGTTATTGCAGCATCAATTGGGCCACAATAACCACTTTTAATCCACTTCAAAAGGTGAAAACATGCCCATTCAGTCCTCACAGAAAGCATGCCTCAAGAATGCATTTTTTCTTCATTTGTTATGAGCTTAAAGCTTGCACATGTTCAGCTACTGCACTTCATCTACAATTTGGTACTTGTTATATTGGAGTAGTGAAATTACGTCTCTGATCCCCTGTACGAGCTAAACCAGTAATGCTCTTGCCAGGTCTTTCTAGGGTTCCCTCACAAGCACCTGCATCAGTTGCACTCAGCTTAGAAGAGCTGACCAAAGCACGGTGCTGAACTGTGTTAGCTGCCAGCGCTGCAGCCAACACCTCGCTCAGARAGAAGATTCACCAATACTGTGGCAAAGACAGTCAATGAAGAATGTACACAGAATAAGTATAAAAGGTAGTATTTCTCCTTATGCAGTTGTTATTACTTTAGGCTGAAGATTCAAAAAGACAGTATGCTGAAATCTAATAATATTTGGGAGTTGTTTCTTTATTTTTTATAAAAGCCAAAATCAGAGAGAAGCCAGCAATCCAGTGGAATAGAAATACTGAGGGGCAACAATTTTATGAGTCTGATGAATGCTGACAAATGACATTTGTTTCCTAAATAGAGGAAGTAAAATACTGAGGGAACAATTGAGAATTTAATAATGCTATTTTTCATTTAGATCAAGATCTAACCTTTTCCCTATCTCAAATTCTGACATTAGAGCAATCACTAACAGCACTTGCAGAAAGGCATGTGAAACTTTTTTAATTAAAAAGATCTGAATTGTGCATCTCACATAGTGTTTTGCACCAGCACCAGCTACACAAGCTGGAATATTGGCATAAATCAGGCATTTTATTGCAGTAAATGTCTGCTGCTTCTGGATATAGATATACAGTCAAGGGAGCAATTTAAAAGTAATGAGAAATGCTAGGTACATTAGTTACTGAAAAATAATGTTCAAACCAGGATTTCATCTGCCTTTGCCCATAAGAGTAAACAGCCTGTGGAGTTATACAGATATTAATAGTTATATTGATTTATTGTATTTCCAAATTAAGACCACATCTCTAAAACCTTTTATTGAATCAATGCCAAACAACYGCTAAAGTTGCATTAAGCATATTGGAAGAACAATGAAGTACTAAGCTTATGAAAAAGCCTAGCCAAAGCCATGACTTCCAGCAGTTGATATCAATGTTTGCTTTGGGATTCAGTCATTGGAATACTCATGAAGCCTTCAGCAAAACACCTACATGCAAAAGGAGTGCAAAGCACAGAGTCCAAGCTAATGTTCATGCAAACAGCACAACATCCTAAGCACACAGAAAAAATCTGCATCCAAAATTCACAGTATTAGCTCAGGCACAGTACTATATTATGTCCTGACTTTCAGAACAATTTATGCTGAACACTGAGTTCAGGCTCAGTGCCACACTGAAGGGCTATACAGCAAGTATAGCCTACTCCAGTGTATGTGTGTGTGTATATATATACACACACATATGTGTGTGTGTGTGTGTGTGTGTGTGTGTGTGTACACTGCAGCAGTCTCTACGCTGTACAAGCACATTCCTAGAAGCAAAGCACGTGGAGATCAGGTACTTTTGTCATTTACACACTTTTGAAAGTCCTGTTACATATCTTTACATGTACTCTTCTTTCCCTCACAGTTTTGGATGCTATTTCCTTAAAATACTTAAAAGCCAACTCTCAGCTCTGRATCTTCCATGAAAAAGATTAGCAGTTATCCCCTTTTTCGCTTTTCTGCTAGATAGATTTCCTCCTAACTGTCCAACCTTTCTCACCATGTCATAGGAAATACTTCCTTTGTGCTTGATGTTCATATCACAAGAAGAGTGGTTCCCAGTATAGTTTGCATTATTTTTTGCACAAGCAGTGGCAAGCTAGGCAAACTAGAGCTCCAGTGGCAAGACAATTGCTTCTTCTCATCCTACATAAACAATTAAAAGGAAACTGTTTCTGCCTGTCAAGTTTATCTTCTTATAAAGACACTTGTAAAGGCATTTTGAGACATAGATTATTATATTATGTGCCAGGGCACAGAAGTTTCTTTTGGAGAACAGAGATTTATTCTGGAAAAAAAAAAAAAAAAAAAAAAAAAAAAAAAACACACCCACCAACACACACCACTGTAAAAGTAGGAGTTCCTCTTTCAAAGAATATAAGCAAATCATCAAACTACTAAACTACTTTAGGAACAAACAAATACCAGCAGGAGTCAACTCTGAAAACGTGAAAAGTGGTGAAATAGGGAATCAKAGAATGCTTAAGGTTGGAAGGGACCTCTAGAGGTCATCTAGTCCAACCCCCCTGCACACGCAGGGTCACCTAGAGCATGYGGCACATGCATGTGGAACTACAGACTGGAAAAGATTCCTAAGGATAAACAAAACAACTGGAAGAGTCAACAATTAAAGAACGATTTGCTAAAGACACTGCTTTAAAKGTCCTCTAGTTATATCACTATTACTATTTTATTATTGCAGTCACTGCTGATTATAAATAAGCAGATCCTTACCATCCACAGCCAACGCTACAAGATGCTGTGTGTCCTCAACCCCGTACATCACGTCACAGCGGTACACGCCTGCATCGCTCGCGCGCAGCTTAGAGAAAGTCAGCGAAGCATCGCCGGTCTCCTCCGAATGGGTTGGAACAGACACTCTGTCTTTGTAGTTTTGGCCTATTTTGATGTTTCCATTTTGAGCAACCAGGACTGTGGTTTCTCTTGCGTCTTTTCCATTTTTATCCAGTTCAACCTTGGACCATTTGATTCGAAGATATTCGGCCGCGTAGCTGGAGGCGATAGTGGGTGTAGTTGAAAAGAAGCATGGCAGGACTGAAGTTCCCGAGAGGGATCCCTTTACCTGGGCTTTTTTTTCTGCTTTGACTAGAAGAAAGGAGAGGGAGAGAGGAAAAAGGAGAAGTCACATTAGGGCACCAGCAAACTAGAAAAAATACAAATTACAGTGTTATTTAAGGATTCAGTCATTGAAGACCAGAGTCTCGTGATCCTTAAGTGGTTCGTATTCAGACTGATCACTCTAAGACAACAAACAAACAAAYAAACAAAAACCACTTCAAGAATCTGAGCCTCTGATTAAGCCCAAAGGGTCCAGCCTTTCCTCCACCCCTCTCCTGTCTAGGAGAATTAATTCACTGCTTGATAGCTTTTCTCTATTTGTTAGAACCATCAAGTTATGGACATGTTTTGCAAACCATTTTGACTTTTCCAGCTGCCAGATGGATTGCAAGAACTATGTTTTGTTACYCCATARGAGTGAAGGCAGTCTCAGTGGAAGAGGGCGAGCTGTTGCTATCCAGCAGCATGCACATATGCTACTGATAAGCTGTACATTCACGCTCTTACAGGAGCTTCTTTAGGCATTCATATCCTGAGGGTAAAACACAGCCTATAACTTGGCATAGGTTTCATTACACTACTCATTATTCTTGCAAGGGTTAACCCTCTTTAATGCATATGTACTAAAACAAAAGTCTCTCCAGACAGATTCTAACTAGTCACTCCTTTAAAACTATTTCCTTGCAGACAYAGAGCCTTTAACATGTTACAGAAATAAGGTATTTTAGGATGTTAAAGCAAAGATGRAAGTAAAGTGCACAGAAAGCCCCTGCTTGACTCAAACTTGACATGATAGGACCTTTATCAATTTTATGACATCCCCAGCTGCAAACACTTTACAGTGAAATGCTTCCATCTGACAATATCCTGAGGGAAAAGCTGACTACTGTTCATCCAACCTCCACACAGAAAATGTCTGAGAAGAGGATTTCTGTTAGACTCTATTACACACCAGCTTTTAACATTCATTAAATATAGTACAGTAGCATATATCTGTGTATTTATACATACTACATACATATCCTCTTTCATTGTCCTGCACTCAAGCAGTTTAGAAAGGCTGAAAATGCTGATCATCAATTTCAAGTTGTCTAAGATGCATAAAGTTTGAGAATATAGTATCTTCAAACAAGTACTGGCCATAATGCTGCATGAAATATTATCTACCATCAACAATATTATCTCTCCACRTACAATGCAGATTTTGAAAGAAAAGAATGAGGAAGAAAAATAGAAAAAATAATTACTTGTTATTTACTTTCATCAGAGAGAGAGACTTTTATACAGGAAAAAGTATTAGCAGTATTACCTTAAAATGATTCAATAGAAAAATAATCATCTTGATATCCAAAGTTTTTAATTTGTTAGGAACAACTACTAAMTAGAAAAATGGAGTAACTGAACTGACCATTGAAAAGCCACAATTTGGAACACAAGTGCCCACGTTCCTTCCTTTCACACCTAACTCAAGTCTAGCAAGAACCTATTTTCAAAGCAGAAAAGAAAAGAAACAGGTCCAATACAAGAACTGAAAACCGGAGTATTCCCAAGGCTTACAGACAAGCCAGTAGAAATTTCTAAAGACTACCTCAAAATTTTTGTTTGCATATACATTTCTTTTAAAAAGTAGCCGCTATTACTTGCAATGAAATAAGAAATTGACTCCCTAGAGTCAATTGATTGCCATAAACTAGGAAGGACTGGCTTTACCAGTAAGAAACAAAACTGGCTCTTTTATCACATTTAACTTCTTGTAACTTTAGCAAATAACAGTGAGGTAGAACTAAAGAAAGAATAAAGACCAAATCCTGTCAGTTGTGATAGAATTACTGCCAAATTGCACAGGTGGGAGATTACAATCAGTCTCCAAATATTTAGTATTTATTATGGTGTCTTGTCATTTAAATACATACCGGGAACTTCTTAAATGAAAAATTACCTACTCTTAATTATCCAGACTAAAAGAATTTTAATAGCTTTTAGAGACCTCTGTTTGGTTGCAAGGGTTCTGGAATATCAGTACTGAACCCCGAGGAAATTTCCTCCCTTTAAAATCTGTATCTTCACATTCTGTAGACTGAAAGCTCTTGGCAGCAAGCACAACCCATCATGACATGCAAACTAGATCCATCATAAATTAGGCTAGGTCCCAGAATAGGGAAGACCGTGCAGCTACAAATACATCTGTCTAACTGTAGAAGTCTTATAAAGCACTTCATAAAAGCACACTTTAACTTAGAGATGGACAAGCAGAGTAGAAGAAAGGAGAAAAAAAACAACATAAAAGAACTAAAACATTAGATTAAATGATGTTCTTGCATCGTCACAAAAAATAGGACTTCCTGCAGCAGCCCAAGCTAACTATTCCAGCCGAGTTTACTGGCCAATGCAGAAATCATTACTCTTTTCTCCTATTAATCCGTTCCTATTAACTAATTCATATCATTAATTAAATCCTATTAATTGGTTTTGTTCCTTCTACATTTCATCTTAGGCTCATGCTCCAGAGTAGGTCTCTTTCATCATGGTATGGTATAAATTCCTTAAACAGTTTGTGGCCAACAAAATACAAACAAGCCACCAAGCAAGAAAACATTTAGTAACTCTGTAAATCTGAACACAAGCTGAGACGGGAAGGTATTTGCTAATTCATTAGGATGGAAATTCCCTGCTGTTAAATGCTCTTTTATCCCATGGGCCACGTATGAGACCTAAAATATTAATAAGATCATGCACTTCAAAAAAAAGAAAAAGAAGGGAACAATTCCGAGGTAACTAACCTGTTTGGTGATGAATATAGTCATTTTTGCTTTTGCTACATCATACATGCAGTTGTTAAGTAAAATTAATTCACTAGGGAAAACACACAGGCAATGAAGAGAGAAAATACACAGCTAAGAACAAATCACTTGGACTCCTGCTGCACATAATGGAAAAGTCAATGAGAGTTTGGTATGAGATGAGACTGCAGGACTGTGCCCAGAGCAGCACACAGTCAAATTATGGAAGGGTCAGTCTGTGGCTCAGCAGGCTTTTTTTCTTTTTTGGTATTCTTTTTAAAATATTATTTATTGTCAAGTACTGAGGATGAGTAATGAGAGAAGGCAGAATGAAAGCTTTCCCAATGCAAAATCCTAATAAAAACCAGACTTGTCATGCACAAGTGACTGGGTAGGACTTCCATACAACTGATTACTGTCTTATCTTCCCCACATTTAAGGCTAAGGTATGTACTTTTACCAGTTCATTGGAGGGCTCATGGTGCATGGGACTGAGGAAACACTGAAGGGATGTGACATTTGCCAATCCTGTATGCACAGAGGCAAAGTAGGTTTCAGCTATAGTCAAAAACCATGGGTGTTTACCCACATTATGGTCCAGCATCCTAGAGCTATTCCTTACCAGATGTCCTAACCAAATGCTACAATAGGTTTGGGCTGCATTATTAAGTAAAAGGGCATTCTTAAAGGCAGGGTGCTCAATAAGCCACAAATGTGCATCCACAAATCTCCTGGAGTCTTTGACAGGGTTTCT